GAGTGCTTACATGTGTGTGCTGGGTTTTATCTATGCGTTTCACTGTGGAGATGAAATGCATGCATTATTCATCAACCTACACAGGGCAGCACTCGCAAGTCAAGGTGAAATTACCTGCATCCTCACGCCGGCCCAGCGCTCTTATCAAACACCAGTAATGATTTCAAGGTGAAACTGACCAATATTGTACCCGATAATATATTTAGGTAGACCACTGTTGTGAACCATCTGTAGGCTCTACTCAAACCTCGGTGGTTCATCAAAGCAGCTGTAGAGCTTATAGATGGCTAAGAGAAGAAGTGGAGTCTGTTGGAAAAAACTCTGCTGCTTCTTCATAATCTTCTTCCCCTTCCCTCTTGGTGCTGGGATTTAAATGCTTTTCTTCCATCTATATCATAAGTGAAATGGGGCAGAGGTGGATACCTTTATTGAATTTCAGTGTTCTTTTGGGCTAAGCTGTGATGGTATTGGCTTTAAGGCATCACTTTTAAACCTTAGGGAGTTATGGATTTGGAACTTGATGTCCTCTAGCTTCATATTAGTGTGTCTGCAGTGTTCATAGGGTTCAAGTCAGTGGGAGGAGCTCTGTTAGAAACAGCGTGAGAGGAGCAGAACAGCAGGGTCAGTGTTAATGCTCCAGATGGCTCTCTAATAAGGCCAGACAGCCTAACTCCAGCTTTTTGAAATGTTCTGCTTCTTTATTCTGTCGAGAGAGGTTTTAATAAGGAGCATGTGTTTAGATAACATTCTTTTTAATGTCCGAGTGTTGCAGTTCATTAAGGAAGGATATCCTGGTTGGTATTTTTTAAGTCTTCACTGTTCCCCTATATTAAGAATCAGTCTGCTCAGGATAGCACAGACGCTGCACGCTTTCAGACGTCATCCACATTTCCATGCCTGCCAATATTCATTCACACACATAAAGGGGAGTGACTCAGCTTTTGAACGCTTGATGTCCTTTTTGTCTGAGTCCGTCTCATCAATCTCTGTATCAGTTTAAGGAGACTCAAAAGCTGATATGAGAAAAACTTCTCCTCTAGAAAGAGAAAAGAGCAGAACCTTTTCTTTCGTTTAATTTAAAGCCTGTTTTATTTTTGTGTTTACGATTACATTAGTAGCCTTTCCCATAAATGAATTATCCCTTTTGTCTGTCGGACTGCTAGAGAATAGAGAATGTGATAATGCTCACAGTTTAATTGTTTTTTGGTGTTTTTTTTTTTTTTTTTAAACAAACTGCAGTTTGATAAGTGGTTAATCATTTAGTGCCCAATGTTGGCACCTCAGGGCGGTTTCATCTGTTGGTTAATCAACCAATATTTGTCCTCCTTTGTTTGTTTCTCATCAGAGATTGAATGCACACTTCCCAGATTTCTAAACAGGCATGTTTTTGGACAGCTACTGTGTTGACAGAGTGAAATTAAGGGACAAAAGCTTTTCTTTCCTACAGGTACAGTCAGTGATCAGCAGGTATTGTGTGCTCTTTATTTTTGGTTGGGCAGGGAGGGAATAATCAGGAAAAAGAGTAAGAATTAAAATCTTAGTAGTCACTCGTATTTATTTTTAACTTGATTAAATATTCATTCCTATTTTAAAATTAAATAGGCTTTTTTTTCTAGTTGCTTTGTCTGAAACCCTCCATTCTCCTTTACTTACCCCATGAAAATGCTTCCACCCCCTTCAAAACTTGTAGGATATTATTTCACAACATCTTTACCCTTATTGTGTATGTTTTAATATACAGGGGCAGCAAATAACTATCTAAATCTTAGTTTGATATTAATTAGATTATTATAAATTATTATTATTATAAATTAGGGAATAGCATAATAAAAACAGTATAGTAAAAAAGCATAGCAAAAAAAACGATGCTTCAATGCTATTTCTTTGCTTTGCATAGACTTGATATTGCTTTTTTTATGTTATTTGGCCAGATTACATTATACTTAAAGAAATGTTTCAAATGAATCAGGCATTTGAAACAGTTTAGGGTTCATTCTTAGATTGTTTTTGTCATTTTACATTTTTGAAACTTATATTATATATAATATAATATATATAATATATATATTATTATATATAATATATATTTCAAAAATATATTATGTATACATATATTATATTATGTATACAAAATATACAACAAATGTATTTAAAAAATTGATTAGCTGAATGGTTGCATGTTAGAATTTGGCACATCTCCCCAAAAATCCAGAAAATGTATGAGGGGGAAAAAAAAGAGGTTAGAAAAGAATAGGAAAAATTTACATAAAACAATGTTTCAGGGCTATGACAATTAAAAGGGGGTAGGTTTAAATTATTTATTTTACAAATTAAGGGTAAAAAAATAGCTCTTAGGAGATATTGCAGGCAGCTACTAGACAGTTGGCACTGCTGATCAGTTTTTGGCCTACTATCTCTTTCTGGCAAATGACAGATGTCGCTAATGGCAGGAAGACTTCAGAAAAAAAATATTCCTTAAGAAACTGGCAATGGCTTCATTTACAACCTATTTTGCTCTGATTACAGAAGAGTCGGAGTAGAAAAAAAACCCATTTTGAAATCAGTAAGGCTTTGCATTCGTTTGGAATTGAACATTAATCTAAAAAGATGGTTTCTCAAAGTTTGTATTGAGCACATCTTATGATGAAGCAACCGTCTGTAATGATAACAATACCTTTTTTTTCCCCAAGTACATATACAGAGGTGAAGACAGGAATTGCTGAGGGGTTGCCAGGGAAACAACAGCTGGAAATCTGAGAGGGTGCCGATTTCATAGCAGTGAATTTAAGTTTTACATGGAGATACAATAGACATATATTGTAAACTGTCAATCATACCAACCTCTAAATTAGATGAACATCCATGTTAAGACGTTCGCCATTCTAGTGATGATTGAAAACATAATGCGGCAGATGCTCCATGAAATTTGCATAAATATTTCTAACCTCATTTTTTCACCATCACTAAGTGATTTGCAGCTAGCAGACAATGAAGAATTTGTTTAGTAAACTTTTAAATTAAAATATCTTGACGGCTACACTGTAATGAAGGAATATCTAGTTTAATGGTTGGGTGGTAAGGTCAATGCATTTCAGATGAATGCTTTGGCCATTTTTCTCACCACAGAATAAGTGAATCGCAGTTTCGTTTTTTTGGAGGGTTTTTTTTTATGGGCTATGCTCTTTTTTTCTTCCTTTATTAAAAGCATTAAACAGACAAACAATCATCCCCTCTGTTGAGCTATGCCCTCTGACACATACGAGGCACAACCTGCCCATCAGCATTGTAAAGTGTTGCAGCCTTCAGGACAGAGTGATGACATCACTTTCAAATTATATTTATTTCATTTTCTTCAGTCATGGGAAATTTATTTCTGTACATTTTTAGATACTTTTGTTTTTGTAATCACAATTAGAGGCCATGAGTCAGTCTGTCTCTTATGTTTTTAAAAGTTGCTGCGGTCTTTATCTCAGCAGGTCTTGGATATAAGTGAAGTTGTGCCTGAAAGCTTTGAATCCCTGTTTTTAAAAATGCATAGTAATAGTCCAAAGAAAGAATATACCCCTTTAAATTTCTAGAAATACAGTATACCATTTTACATTTCTCAGGTTTTGAGATTTTCTGTGTTGGCTAGTTCTCTACACTCAGTGCTCCTTATAGTTGCATCTCTGCTTCACACCTCAATCAAAAGGCGGAATTACCTCCTCGGCATGTTGAGTTTTTCCAAAACCAATGACATGATTATTTCACTTAGGTGTGCTGTAGCAGAGACATATCTTAAAGGTGCAGGACACTGGACCTCAAGGTTCAGAGTTAAGGAATGCTGGTCTAAACCCTTGACCTATTAAACCTTAACATTAAAAGAGGTGTGTACTTTCTTTTGATCACAACAGTAGATGCTTTACTCCCAGGTTGATAGATGGTTTTTCTCACTCATTGTGTTCAGTCTTGCAACTGATCACATTTTCTGCCACAAAACCGTGACTGATGTAAAAAGTTGAAAATGTTGACGTAGTTTTGCAAGGCAGTGTGATATAAGAAGAAATCTTTTTTTATTTGATAAGGAAAAACATAAATGCTACATTCAGAAATGTGAAAAGCAGGACCTGACACTTTCTTCTCTGTATTGGTCCAAATATTTGTGATTAAGGTCGTTTGGGCCGCAATGTTTTGCTGCTGAGGTCATCATTTATTAATATCACTGAGTCAAAATAAAAGTCAAGTTTGGTCAAACATGTTTCAAACTGATTGGAATCTCAGATTCAGAATCTATAAACATTAGTGCATTATCTTCATGATTTGTTGGTGTCTGCTTTATGCATTTTTTTTTCATGTTAAACTCTGATTTTAGTTGTTACATCATTCTATTTTCATTTATTTGTTGTGCCACATGCACATCGATGGTGACATGACTTTCCTTTAACTGCTTTATGGTTAGAATAACAAAATTGCCCGAGGCAATGCTCCATTTTGTAATGCCTGCCTGTTTTTAGCTCTTAAGTGAGTTCAGACACCTTTCTCACTCAGATGTATGGTATACCATGTAGCAATGGATATGTCATATTTCATTTGGTTTCTGATGTGTTTAGATCTGCCATTTCTGATCTTTGTTCTGAGGACTATATCATTATGAAATCCTGGACCATGTACTACAAATAAATGGGGAATACAGGCTCTTTTGGTAGGGGTGGTCAATTTAGACATTGAAAAACAATATCATCTTTATTTATGCTTCAAAACGGGTGGTTGCTTTACCTGAAGACAATTAGTGAACATGCCTGCTTTAATGTGTTTATAGATGGAGGGTGGTGGATGGTCATTTAAGTTTGCTAAAGAAATTGATCATCAATCGGAAGAAAATTTGTTCATTCATCGCTGTATACACATTAGCTGAAGAACAATTAAGAAACACTTTAAAACTGTTAAGGTTTCCTTGTATGATTTTTTTTCTGGTTCTGCTATTAATAAATATTAAATAACTTTGTATCTCTCTTTTTCAGATCAATGCATTGTGACTAGAACCTATCTTTTCCTACACAAGTTCTGGTTCTTTAGCACCATCTACTACTTTGGCAACTGGGCTTTTATTGGAGTAAGTAATATAATGTTTAAAACATTCCTCATGTTTTTATTGGTTGCTGTTTCCTAAAGAGGAAATAGAAAAGTGCATGATTAAAATTATGTGTTTTAATTTGTATAACTGGCTTATCATTTTAGGCTTTCCTCATTGGACTGGTGGTATCATGCTGCAGAGGGAAGAAATCAGTGATCGAAGGAGAAGTGGAGGCTGATGACTCAGACATTAGTGATGACGAATATGTGCATTAAAAAAAACATGTTATTGATATTGTACTCATAGCTTATAGGGACTGGAAAGTATGATTATTTAACTAATAAGAAAATTGAACTTAAACTGATTGTAATAAGTTGGATTGTTTCATTAGATTCCAGGTTTGGTGGAGTTGACACTTTGTTCCCTTTTAATGAGAGAGCTCAGACTGATAGTAGCAGATTCCTCGGTCAATGTTAGTGATGGCTCTGGGATTCTGGGAGTGTCCTCCAGATTTCGCTTTACAGTCTGACATAAATTACTTATTTTTTAGGAAAACGCTGACATGAAATATTTACTGTTCCAAAGCTCAGTGTTTGGGCTTCTACCTTAGTATCTTTTGTTTTTCTTTTTTTGTCTTTTTTTTTTTTTTTACTTCCTACAGGTACTCTTTCTATTCTGCTTAAGTTATTTATTCTTGAAAACATATACACTGTACCTTGGTACATATCTGAAGCCCAGCAGTTGTTTTGCTGAAGACCTGCTTGTTATAAAAACAATGATTTCTAAAAGTTGACATTCGTAACACTGAAAGGATGAATGTTTGCTTTGATTTGCATCGGCTCAGAGTGCAGATGGTGTTTTTTTTTTGTGTTCCTGCCACTGTAGACCCGCCTGAAGTGTAAAAAGTTTAGAATCAATTGTATCTAGTGGGTTTTCAGCTCTTTAATGTATAAACTTGGTTTTGCTATGGGTGGAGAAACAGGAAAATGAGTAATGGAAAAATGTAAGATATCAATAATTTTTGTTTTCTTTTAATAAAAACTACACGTCATTTTGGGTTTCACTTTAGAGGTAATTGGCTGCACAATGCGTTGCATTTAATTGCTTTTTTTTAGCCCTACACAGATTTATTCCACAATGTATGTATCTCAAATTAAGGGTGATAATTAAAGTTTTGAAGCGAAATGTTTGTGCCTCATGAATGCAAGCTGCTATGATGGGCACAAATACCTAAACTTGTCCTAGCTTACGTTACTTTAGAATTTAGCCTCAATTCAAGTATTAGTTTCCTTTTATTGTTAGGAAATGAATGCCAGGTCAATGTTTGCGAACCAATTATATGATTGTGAAGATTTTGGGAAAATATGTTAATAATTAATGGTACCTATATTTAAAGGAATAAAAAAATTTCAAACACTTATGGCTTACAGTTTATTTTTAACCAGTTTTCAGTGCAGTGTTTCTGTTAACATTTGTCAGCAACAGTTGAAGTGTTGACCTTCCTTCAAACTGAATATGAATTTGTAAAACTGCGAAAAATGGTTTAGCAAAGCTTGATAAAAATTATAAAACATGTTCTCATTAACCCTATGAAACAAAACATAATTTGCATTTTATCACTGTGTGAAATGTCTTAAACATCCATGCTTATGAAAAAAAGCACAGCAATTTCTTTTCCACATTAAGATTTTTTTTTATAGTTATTTCATTACATGTTTTCATTCTGTTTAGACCTGGATCAGATTTCTCATTACTAGTCAGTGAGCACCGCCTCTCTCTCTTTTCATGACTCCTTCCTCCCTTTGTATACATGTCTGTTTAGTTATTTATACACCTGAAACCATTTAATTAAATACCAAACTTTTATTTTAAGAGCTTCATACTAAAATACTTTAACGGGCATTTTCCAGAAACTGTAAGATCACAATTACCTAAATATCTACAGAAGTCAATTAAATGTGATATAACTTAGAAAAAAATTCAACCATAAAACCTTAAAGCTATATAATTTATGGCTGTCTAAAAGACTACAAATAATGGTAAACTAGAGGTCTTTAGCTGCAAAGAAATATACACAGCGAACCCTAACCATTGTCCAGATTTCTTGACCGCTGGTCAGAGGATCCGACTGAGAAGATTCCTTTCAGGATGTTTTGACTCAATCTTACTACCTCAAATCTGTAAGGACACTTAAGCCACGGCAGATTTGCATTGAGGTCGCCATAATAGAGCTGGCAGCTGAGTTGACACTGTCATCAATTCATCAGCATACGGCCCCTGATATCCCTAGCCACAGGTAGGACCTCAATGGTTGCCCACAGTCCTTTGCCTGACATATAGGAGAAGTCCACCTCATAGAGTTAAACAAAGATAAATTATTTCTTAGTGTTTGCCGTGAGACATGTTAATGTACACACCTTTATATAGTTTATGGGTGATCGAGCGATTGTGTCTAATCCTCAAGGCAGTGATATTAACAGTATGCTCCCAAAACATAAAGAGAAAATATAATCATATAACTAAGCTCTCTGAGGTTTATCTTTTCACCTGTTTGGAATGAAAGCTGCATATTTTATGTTCCTATAATGTTCTACATAATGAATTTCTGAGCTCAATTTTCGAACATTAAAACACTTTGATCTGAAAAGGAACTCCTAAAAACAGCTCTTACAATATCTGTCTATTTTAAAAAAGATGATCGAAGATTAAACAGACTTTCCAAAAGCCATGACCTAAACTACTGCTGTTTAGCAGTAATGCAATTATCACTGAGGAATACAGAGGAAACTGCCTCTTTAACATGTATGTGACATCAAGTGTTGGAGAGCTCTTCAGTGTACTACAGTACAAGTTATATCATTTGGCCAAGAACTTTCAGAGCGAATAGGACTATAGTTGGAATTTTATTTCAAAGTCTCCTGTTTGGATCACATCTGTAGAAAAAAGCTGAAAGGTGTTGCAGGTTGAATGAAAATTGTCCACTTTCCCGATTATCTATCATTTCATATCTGACCCTGTTATCAAAAGCCCCTTCCTAGATCCATTTTCAAGTTTTGCCTATCGCTCTCTGTATGTGATTTTTGTCCCATTTTTTCCCCACACTTTTTAAAATCACACTATTGAGAAAAAAAAAATCCAAAATTGCTGTGAGCCCAAAGCACAGGCTTTGATATAAAAAAAAAAAAGTAAAAACATGAAACCTTTTTGAGCCATTAAAGCTTGTGGGCTGACAGTTAAATGCACCAATCCTTGGATTAGCATACATACTTACTACTCACTGCCTGCTTTAAATGGATTTGCATAAGATTTTATGTCCAATTAGGGTTTTGAGGTATTCCTACCTTGTAATTTGAGTTAAGCCATGAAAAGTTCCATCCGTACATTCCTAATATCATAAATAAGGCTTCTGCCAAAAACATGTTTCAGGGATTCAACAGAGATGATTGTGTGATCAGATTAGAAGATTCCTGCACTTCAGAGAGCCAGGTGTCATTGGAAAACCTGTCATATCTACATTTTTTCTTTTGTTCCTTCAGTAAGTTCTGCACCACCCTTACATAGAGAAATGCATACATATATAATTGAAAGAAATTCTAAATATATAAGCTATAATCCTGCTTTTCTGGGTTTTGTGGCAGGTTGTTATCTGTTGGCTTTCAGTAACAGATGTGCACACAGGTGTTTTCCTTTTCTTATCAATTTGTACCTCTAAAAATCTACAGGCATCCACTAGCAAAGTAATATTTTCCACAGTTGCAGTTAGGTCAGGTGTTTTATCCCTACAGGCATCTGACTTTGGCACCAAACATGAACTGTTTTAGCCCCTATGGGAAAGCTACTGGCGAGTAGAATGCAAGGTAAGCCAAGTTTACACTTAACTTCCATGTGGTGCTGTAGTCAGTCCCCGACACCCCCATTCAATAGGGGAATAAACACCTACTTTAAGAAAAAGCTGATACAATGATCACTGTGTGTGTATGTAATATTTACTGCATTATAAATTCTAGGGTAAGTAGTTATTAACTGTTATTTCTGTATGTATTTATTATTATTTGTGGTAGTTTACATATTTTCTGTTGTATATTTATGTTTTCCATATTCTTAGATTGTTTGGATATGATTTAATCCTCCTCTGACCAAGGAAGATTGTTAACTTTAAGTCCTAACAAGAACTTCCATAAATATTAAATGATTAACCATGTTCTGTGGAAATTGATTTTATAGCGGCCAAAGGAACATTCCTCCTTATTTATATAGCTAGTTAACTATCTGTCCATCAGTAACACATAACAATCTTAGTCCTGAAACACCAGATCTGCTGTGGAAGGGAAAAAATAAGGTGAGAATGTCTTTGAAATTGTGTTTTATACTATCAATCACTCTACGACCATGAAACAGTTGTGAACCTGACTACAAAACATAGCAAAAATAAAGTTTATGATTTAGGGAGGAAAGGCAGCTAATCTGCTCCAACTGAGCGCTCCTGTTACCAGGAATATTAACTACAGCCCTTAATAAGTAGGAAAAAATATGTTCAGATTTACTATAGTTAAATTCAAATACTGCACATATGCTATTGTGGATCGTTGTTTAGCTCATAAAAATTATAATGGTCTTCAGAAGGTCAGTTAAGGCTTACAATTGCATTCAGGTTTAAGATAACATCAACAACAGTTCAAACCAGAAAATTACCAACACTAAAACGACTGACATTAAATCACAGTACATTTATAAAATAATTTACTTTCTTTAATATCAAAAGTTTAACACAATTTACTATGTCTCTAAACATTTGAGAAATACCAGATTATTAGGTGTTCTGTGTAAGTCTATTAGGGGTTCTGTGTAAGGCAGAAATACTCGGATGACGTTGCAGTCATTGGGTGCATCAAAGATGGACAAGAAGCTGAGTACAGGGACCTGGTGACCTGCATCGTGGCATAGTATGGAAAAAATCTGATCCTAATGTGAACAAAAACAGGGGGAATAATGTAGATATCAGAAGAAACAGGAACAAGTTGAATCCTATTGACATCAAAGGTGAAGAAGAATTGGAGGTGGTGGATGAGAATAAGTATGTTGGTGTTCACTTGGACAACAAACTTGACTGGTGACACAACTTAAGCGTCTGCAAGAATGGGACAGAGCAGATTGTGCTTAATAAGGAAGCTTAGGTCCTGCTTTTTCAGAAAGATGCTACATATCTTCTATACGTCTGCTGTGGAGAGTGTGGTCTCTTCCTCCAACCTCTGCTGGGGTAATAGGCATCAGAGTAAATTACTAAAAGAAAGCTTGACAAACAATGTAATAAAGAAGGACAGCTTTGTTCTATATCCTTTGGAGATAATTTCACATAGGAAATAAGTGAAGATGATTATTCACAGCCATGAACATCCTCTTCAGAAGACTTTTAACAACAAAGTGTCTTCAGTCAGAGGCTTCTCCAGATCAGGTGCAAGACAAAAAAGACCCTTTCTGCCTACAGCTATCAACACCTACAAAAACTAATTGAAAAAAAAAATCCCTATTAATTTCCTTTGTTTTGTTTGGTTTGTTAGGTATATATACAGTATATATATATATATATATATATATATATATATATAAATACACAAAAGCTGCTAACTGCAGAACAACCTATTGTTGTCTTTTATTGCATCCCCCTGTACAACATGCAAAATGTGGCAAGATATCAAGGAGCAAGTTTTGGACTTCCCCTTTATTATAAATCATTAGATCGACTCTTTATATTTTAATTTATTAAAACAATTGTACGTAGACATCAAAATGAATGCCATGAGAATCATCTGAGAAGGAGTTGGGTTCTGTGTCTGATGTATAAATGTGTTTTGGACTTAGAAGTGCTTAAAAAATCCAGAACAAAGCCCAAAGACCTTTGACAGTACTGGTAATAAAGTGTGATTACCCACAAGAAAACACTTCATGTTCAGACAAGGGCTAAAAGGCCACTTAGAAATAATCAATTTCTCTAACAGTAACCTAAAAATCTCTGTCAGAGTCAAAAAATGCACTCACAGCTCGTCTATTTTGTCATTTTGTTATATGCATATCTCGGTAAGTATAAGTTCTGTTTGAAACACTATGTTATTTTAAAAAAAGTGTTTTGACTTATATCTGGCTGAAATTGAAAATTCAGAAAAGGGAGGTTAAATCCAGGGCACTTACTGTATTTTTTCCAGCATTTGAAAATGGGACAGAGAAACGAGTCTGTCTGGCGTATATAGAAGGGGGTGGAGGTTTTCAAAGTCATTTTCTTCACTCAGTGTGGAAAAATTCCATCATCAGTAATGGTTGTATAATAACATTGAAAGAGTACATTTTCATCATCATTTCATAGATTGCAATGCAAAGAGTAATTCTTACCAAACCTATTTTAACTCTGAATATT